CTGGGCTATGGGGGCTGGGCTGAGGAGGCCTGCCTGACTGGGTAGGGAGGGCTGCCTGACTGGGTGAGAAGGCTGCCTGACTGGGTAGGGAAGGCTGCCTGATTGGTAGGGGGCTGACTGACTTGGACAAAAACGCATCAAATAGGCTTTTTCCGGTCTGACAACAAACAATGAAAGCCAGACAGTTAGTTTCATGCCGACAACTACAGCCACGTTAGGTGTCTTTCAGCGGCTGTTGGCCATTCACGTCGCTGTCAGGGCTCTGGGGGGGCAGGGTGGGGCGGGGTAGGGTGGAGATGAAAGAGGTTGTCACATGATCATTTCTGTCTCTGGGTGTAATGTGGGTGTGATGGGTGTAGTATAGGCGTGAAAGACTCCTTTAGGTGTAGTCTGGGTGTACTGTGGGCGTTAGACTCATCATCAGCGAACAGAAGAAAATTTTAAAGCTATCTTGAATGCGTTGTCCAGTGACGTCACACCATAACACCGCGCCATTGATAAGTTGTCATTGAGAGCTACAACACGCATCAGTAAACACAACCCACATTTACATAATATTAATGAATATTTTACCGAGGATGAATAAAAATTGTTAGACAGCGTGTAAATTGTGATGAAAGAGGAGATAGAAGGATAGATAAAGGATGTTTGCTACGAGAGAAGATGATCAACATAATAAAGTCGACGAATCACGCGAGAGTTAAGAAAAAACATAGTCACGGAAATAGCATTCGAGTATGATATTATTATTTTCCTTTTTAATTCATATTTTTCGTGAATTTCGAATACTTGTCAGACATATGATAAGGATTTTCAAGGTGCTCTTACTTGGCTGCCAAAACTCTCCTCCTTCGTACAACGGCCATGAATGAGAAAAAGGAAGGAATTTCGCGCGGTTGTGAATGCTCCTCTGATCACGAACGTAAACAAAAGAATGACAATGACAGACGATAAATGATGCATTATATCCATTCACAGAGCCGTAGAGAGAAGAATATTCCATTATTTGAGACATTCTGGAGAGATTAGAGATAGAGATAGAGAGATAAAGAGATGGTTGAAGAAAAATGGAACGAGATGGTGAGGTTTTGGACGCAGTGTTTGGGTAAGGCTGGGCACGAGCCATATACAGTGGTGATTGAGGCAGTACAGTGGGCCATTGTTACTGTCCCCTGCTGCCCACGCCCACACCTGTTGCCCACCCATACGCCATCCTCTTACCCACCCACACCTCTTGCCTACCCACACTCCCACCTATACTACCACACGCCCATCTAATAACCTCCCCCACACACACATACTCCTGCAAACGACCTATGTATAAACCCCACAATCAGCCCATATGCCCACCCACACACCCACGCGCCACCCAGGTATGGATTAAGAAGCTCTGTGTTCCCGGGAGCAGGTAGGTGGGTGGGTGGGGTGGGGGTGGGTAGGTAGGTGGGTGGGTAGGGGTGGGCTAGGGTGGGTGAGGGTGGGTAGTGGGTTGACAAGGCTCTCTATGTGAGATTTTTGTGAGTGAGAGTAAGTCAATGTTAGCCCTGGGTAATGTTTCTCTCTCTCTCTCTCTCTCTTCTCTCTCTCTCTCTCTCTCTCTCCATCTCTCTCTCTCCATCTCTCTCTCTCTCATCTCTCTCTCTCTCCATCTCTCTCTCTATTTATCTCTATCGCTGGTACACACAAGCATTTGAAGACAAGCATTAAGTTAAACATACGAACGGACGGACATATGAAAGCCATCCATCCATCCATCCATCCATCCAGTCACTTAACACAGGCAGCCAGATCCCCTCTCATCCATCACCATCCATCCCTATTTCCACCGGAAGTTGAAGGGTTGTAGCGGAAGAGGAAAGAAGAGAGAATTAGCAATTACCTGGACACACGACCCACAGGTGAGATATACAGGTGATCTCTCTCTCTCTCTCTCTCTCTCTCTCTCTCTCTCTCTCTCTCTCTCTCAGACTTATTGGGTGTCCCTCTATAGTTGGTCTCGATAATTCCGGGTCGCGCTAGGGCCTCGGTTCCGTTCAGTCCGGGTCACGTTCCAGAGCTGGTCTCGTTAGCTCCGGGTCGCGTTCCGGCGTCGATCTCAATAACTCCGGGTTACGTTTCGGCGCCCTGACACACCTGCTGGATGACGTCACGGATGACACACGCTAGAGCAACAGGATTCTGGAGAGAAGAAGAAGAAGAGAGAAGAAGAGAAGAAGAAGACTAAGAACACACACATAAATATCCATACAATAACCACCCCCCCCACCGAGAGTGAGTTTCCAAGTCGTCAATAAGTGTAGCCAAGGTCAACAGGTAAGGGAGGGGGGAGGGGAGCGGATACGTGCACCTGGCTTCTCATTAACGCGGCTTACCTGTGATTTACCTGATTCACCCACTGTTTGGATACGCTTCTTTACGCACGATTCCCGCCACTCAGGGAAATGATTCGGAATAGAGTTTGTGAGATGGAATTGAGTCTATCTATCTATCTAAATATCTGTCTTTCTATCTATCTATCTATCTATCTAGCTATCTATCTATCTATCTATCTATCCATCTGCGTGGGGATACATTATACAGCGTGGGGATACACGTCACCTGGCGTGGTTGAATGAGAAGATCCCATTATTACAGGTAGGCAGCGTGATGCTCCTGCCGTGCCTCCCCTCTCTCTCCTCTCTTCCTATCTCTCCCTCCCTTCTTCCTCCCTCCTCCCTCCCCTCCTCCCTTCCTTCCTTCCTTCCTCCTTCCTTCCCTCCCTCCCTCCTCCCCTCCCTCCCTTCCTTCCTCCCTCCCTCCTTCCTCCCTCCTCCCTCCCCTCCCTCCCTCCCTCCCTCCCTTCCTTCCTTCCCTCCCTCCCTCCCTTCCTTTCTTCCTTCCTTCCTCCTCCCCTCCCTTCCTCCCTCCCTCCCTCCCTCCCTCCCTCCTCCCTCCCTCCCTCCCTCCCCTCCACACAAAGAATCATTTACAGTGATTTTATTACATCATTATATTGTGTTAAGAGGAATTCGGCTCGACGCTGGCTCTCTCTCTCTCTCTCTTTCTCTCTCTCTCCTTAAATACCGACGTGTTGTGGGTCTCTTTACTCCCTCATTTACTCTTTCATTTACATATAACTTACACTTATTTACACTCTCATCAATCATCACTGAACAACTCTAAAATACCAGCACTGGAACCCTCTCCACCCGCCCACACCCCACTACCCCCACCCACACCCCACTACCCCCACCCACCACCCAACCTCCCACACCCTAAACACACGCCTACACCCACCCCCCACACACCTACACCCCACTATCCACAACCTCCCCACCCACCCCCCCACTAACCCACACCTACCAACCCCCCATTCCCCCATTTATTACAGTGTGACGACAATGACGTCACCGATCCTCAGCCACAACACTGTTCATTCATATCGTGTGTAACTGATCAGCTGACTCAAACTCATACACACACATACATACATACACACATTTACATACACATACATATACACACACACACACACACAAGCACACATACATATATTATTTTAGAATAATTAATAAACCGGAGAGAGAGAGAGAGAGAGAGAGAGACTGATAACCTCAGAGATGAACGGTTCCCAATAGTCATTTGTCTTGGAGGGTAGGAGCTGATCCCTCTGATAGGAAAGTGTCAGCCGTCAGCAGCGTTAACCCCTGGCTGACACACAAATCCCCCTAGCTGACACCTCCACCTTGGGTGACACAGTCTCCCTTTCTATATCTCACTTAACTGTATCTGTATTAACCATTGCCTCTCTCTCTCTCCTCTCTCTCTCTCTCTCTCTCTCTCTCTCTCTCTCTCTCTCTCTCTCTCTCTCTCTCTCTCTCTCAGGTAAACAGACACACACCTGCCGCTTGCCCCACTAATTATATGTTAATCTATTCACACAAATCACCTCATGTTATTAGTCAACGGTTATTGAGTAATTATTCCACCTACAAATTCCCTCTTTCCCTCGTCAGCATGCTAGCCTCGCAAGCGAGCGGACCCGGGTTCGATCCCCGGGCAGGGTGCAACTATAGGCAAGTTTCTTTACGCCATTTGCCTCTGTCTACCCAGCAGTAATTGGGAACCTGTATGTTAATCGATTTGCTGATGATATTCCGGGGTAATGGTTAGCCAGTGCAGTTGGCGAGTTGTCCGGTCTTCTCGGACTATTCCATGACACTGGGTCACGCAGCTCGTTCACTCAGGGTGTGGTTGTTGTGTTGGCGACAGCTTCTACACCTTAAACGAAATGACGCCTAGGTGGCCCTTGGGCCGGTCATCCTCGTTACACGAGGGACACCCATACATAGTCTCCCCAAGCATAACACAGGTCTATACACGGGAAGAGTTATAGTCAAACTCACAGCACAGGAGTAGAGGCAACAGAGGAGTCATATAGATTGACAGAAGGTTATCAGCTGAGATAAGATAAGGCAGCGGGAAGATAGGGCAGGAGAGAGACGGCTTATAAAGAGTCATTTATAACAGTAGTGTGAATGAAGGCTGTGGTATGGTGGTGTAGTGGTGTAGAGGTGTAGAGGTGTAGTGGTGTAAGGGGTAGACAGCTTAAATAACAGCAATGGGTAGACAGCTTAAAGATACGGAAGCCCTTGAGGAGGATTCACAGGAGAGACAACAACAACAACAACAACAACAACAACAACAACAACAACAACAACAGGGCCATGTACAACAACAGCAGGGCCATGTACAACAGCCTGGCATGATACAACCGCAGCAGCAACAGCAGCTACAGCAGGGCCAAATACAACAGCAGGGCCATATACAACAGCAAGGCCATATACAACAGCAAGGACTAATACAACAGCAAGGACAAATACAACTGCAGCAAACACAACAGCAGCAACAGCAGGGCCAAATACAACAGCAGGGCCATATACAACAACAACAAAGCCTAATACAACAACAACAACAACAGGGACATCAACAACCACCACCACTCCATCATCACAACCAACAACAAACAACTCACTTCCTACAACAACAACAACAACAGGTAATGTCTCAAATCCTTACAATAATCCTTAAAAACAAAAACAAAAGCTATCGTTACTAAAATGGCCGCCGTGTATCGAGGTGTGGCTTGAAGAACTGATCAGCTGAGTCAAACTTGAGGAATGTTTGTGTTGTAATAATAATAATAATAATAATAATAATAATAATAATAATAATAATAATAATAATAATAACACTCGGGTCACGTGACAATGGTATAATAACAAATACAAAATGAATAAAACGAAGCCTTATAAAAAATATCCATTACTGATAACACAAAAAGCTGACGTCAGTAGGAGATAAGTTGAGAGGGTATACGTGTGTGTGTGTGTGTGTGTGTGTGTGTGTGTGTGTGTGTGTGTGTGTGTGTGTGTGTGTGTGTGCCATGGTTCTATACACAATATTAAATGCCATGTACCTTTACTTTACAGCAAGACTCGTCGGACCTACAACAACTGTCAAGCGAAGATTTGGCGTCGGTGGGCCTTGACGTCACCCTCGCCGCCCTGCCCACCCACGAAAGCCACCCACTAACACTCGAACAGGCAGGCAATCACCTATACACTCTACATACACCAAGCCACCGAGGACCCAACCTGTCCCAACCACAGTCCATCTGGCAACCAAGTCAACCCCTCCCCCACCAAGCCAATCACCCCTTCCCCCAGCAACCCAGCCACACCCTCCCCCAGCAACCCAGCCACACCCTCCCCCAGCAACCCAGCCACACCTTCCCCCAGCAACCTAGTCAACCATACAGCTACATTAGTGTCCCGGGTGTCTCCCACGGGACCGGGCAGCCACCCAGGGGCGCCTCTGTCCACTACAGAGCTCCGGCATCGACAGAGGGCCGAGAGGGGCACACGGACTACACACCATGTCCTAGCGGCCGTCCCGGGGGCTCCCTGGCCCTCTACACCCCGCCTAACAAGGGCGCCCTCAGAGCCAACAACCACCTCTCCAGGCTCCTCCCATCTCCGGGCGGCAGTGGTTGGTCCACTCTCGTCAAGGGGGACGTGAATGGTGACTCCCTCAGCCACTTACCTCCTGGGGGGTGGTCTAAGGGGGGCACAAGCGTGGACGCCCTAGACGAGTTGAATGCAGGGATGGGTCAAGAGCCCCCCAGAGGCCCCCCAGTGGCCCAGTTCCCCCAGAGGAATGTTTTTAACGGCATCTACGGCCTCCACGTCACCTTCCCCGGCCAGTCCCCCAAGCTGGTGGTGGTAAGTCTCTCTCTCTCTCTCTCTCTCTCTCTCTCTCTCTCTCTCTCTCTCTCTCTCTCTCTGTCCTCCATGCCCTCACTAACCACCTCCTGGTCTCCACACAGAGTGAAGAGGAGGGCGGTGGTCGTCGCCTCAACACAGAGATGGGTCACGTGATCACCCTGGTAGTCCGACACACAGCTGACCACACCACCGTCATGAGGTTCTTGTTAGTGTTCTCCAAGGACTCAGAGACGTCCCAGCCCGTCCACCCCTGCAAGAATCATCAGGACCTAGCCCATCCTTGTAAGTCCTAGCAAGTCCCAGCCCATCCTAGTAAGTCGTAGCAAGTTCCAGCCCATCCTTGTAAGTCCTAGCAAGTCCCAGCCCATCCTAGTAAGTCGTAGCAAGTTCCAGCCCATCCTAGTAAGTCCTAGCAAGTCCCAGCTCATCCTAGTAAGTCCTAGCAAGTCCCAGCTCATCCTATTAAGTCCACAGGTCCCAGGTCACATCTAGCATTATCTTAGTACTACTCTATTGATCCATATATCCTCCTATCATTACCATCACCACCATTACCACCGTCACTACCACCATTACCTTCCCCAGGGCACATGCTGGTGGTGGAGGCAGGGGTAGGACCACCAGTATGGGAGGAGGAGCCTCACCCCTCCCTGGTAGTCACTCCCGCACCGTCAGATCGGGGAGAGTACACCGTCCAGCTCAAGTTCCTCTGCCGTAACTCCTGCATCACGCGGAAGGACCTCACGCTTGTCTGCCAGCTCGAGCGAAGGTGAGGGTGTGTGTGTGTGTGTGTGTGTGTGTGTGTGTCTGTGTGATGAAGACTCTCTCTCTCTCTCTCTCTTAACCTAACCTAACCCTAACAGCGGGGTGGTAGTGGGTCGAGACTGCCTCGCGGTCAAGATCAGCGCCTGTCCTAAACGCGACGCTAACATCCAACACCGCAAGCACCCGCACCCGCAGCCGCAGGAACTACCCCCTAGCAAGCATCACAGGGGAGCAGGGGAAGGACATAGAGACAATGCCGCCAGTACCTCTATGGACACTTCCCTTGTGAGTAAGATGAACACTTTCCCCGTTGAATTTACCCCAACCTAACCTGATATATTTTGTGGTTTAATATATGATAAATTAACCAAGTAGTAGTAGTAGTAGTAGTAGTAGTAGTAGCTATTGGGGGAGGCTGGAGGCCATATTAAAAAAGTAATAGTAATAGTAGTAGAAGTAGTTTTGTTGTTGAAGTAGTAGTAGTAATAGTAGTAAACAAGAGTAGTAATAACAACAATACTACAACAACAACAACCACGACACTCACCACTCTCTCCTGGGCCAACAGAGTGACACAGGCGACTCTACCGACAGCATAACCGGCAGGAGTACTACTGACGTGGCTGACGGGGCACAACAGCAGGTCAGTTCCTATACGTCTGTCTTCTTGTGTGTGTGTGTGTGTGTCTTGTCCTGAGCACACAACACCTCTACTTGTCTAGTTGGTGAGTGTGTCGGAAGCTTACCACACGTTCATCACATGCATGTCTGGGGTAAGAAACGACGATGTGTGTGTGTGTGTGTGTGTGTGTGTGTGTGTGTGTGTGTGTGATTTTATCCCCGCGTGAAACAATTTCCTGTATAAGATTAGAGAGAGAGATAGAGATAGAGAACTGAGTCAGAAAGAGAGAGAGAGAGAGAGAGAGTACCCAGAGACAGACAAGGATAGAGACAGAAAAACAGAGGGTTAAAAAGAGAGAGACAGGGAGAAAGTGACCCTCAACTAAACAAACCCTCTAAGCTATTACTCTCCCCTGACCTTCCCCCTTTCCTCCTTGTGCCAGGACGTGGGCGGAGGGGGCGTGAAGGAGGCGTTGGAAGCTGCCCGCACGACCGCCCACCTCGTCTTCATGGAACGAACCTACAAGGAACAGCATCCCGAAGATCACCAGGCAGCGGAGGCCGAATTTTCACAGTGGTGGAGTACCCAGGCACCCACGTAGAGAGGGATTTTGTTTTTTTCACAGTGAGTGGGATCCCATGGAGGGGGGGGGGGTCATATCATCAAGGAAGGATATCATCGAGAGGGCTATTCACTGAGAGCTAGATGGTGCTCCCCCCCCCCCTCTCTTCTCCTCACCCCTCTCTCCCCCCTCACCCATCTCTCTCTCTCCCCTTACCCTGCAGCCCCCTAGTGACCGTGATAGGTAATATACAGCCCCATTGTTCCCGGGGTTCGAAGTCGTGTTCCCTGCCACCCAGTTGATACATGTCACCGTGAGCCAGGGCAACACACGCTTCCCCCCCTGTAACACATCAGTACGTGTCCAACCGTGTACTTTGGAGGTTACAGGGGGGAGTGACACTGTATTTTGTATGGGAGAAATTACCAGTATTATTTTAGTACTATTTTAGTTACAGAAAGGAGTGATTATGTATTTAATTTGTACTGCTGTAGTGAAAGTGCCAATTGTTATGCTATTTATATATACAAGTTCTATTATAATTTTTTTGTTCCAAGTGTTATACCAATATCAGTTCAGAATAACAGACTCTTAATATATGAAAATTAATTCAAACGTGAACTCTTTCAATTAATCCATCTCAAGACTTACACGAACACAACAAGCTAGACGGATTCTCAGCAACAGAGCACATGACTCCAACACAGTACACGCTGATCAGACTCCGTAATGACTCGTCAATAACAGAGGCTAAGGAGAGACTCTCACCTAAATAAACATCAATAAATACTAAATAAACAACAGTAAATTCTAAAACTGTTAATAAATCCTTAAATTTACTTTCTACGCTTGAGGGAATTAGTATTTCTTTGCGCACGAACGCCACCAGACGGCAGTAATGTGAACTATAATTTGCCTTGCTGGTGACTAGTGAGTTATCGTTCAGTTGTTCACCTACAACCCTCACGTGCGGCGTCACACTAGCGAGCGTCACATAAACAAGTGACCTTTTTTACTCTTAGGCTCAGGCGCGAAAGGCTAATTTTCCCGACAAGTTTCGGTGGCGTCACAAATCTTCCCAGCCAACCAGGGCGTAATCAGCTGACAAACCCAGTGACATCACGAGCCTTATCCACCAATCAGGGTGTAATCAGTGGACAGGTTCGGTGACATCCCGAGCCTTATCCACCAATCAGGGTGTAATTACGCCAAGCACCTGTGTAGTGGCGCGCCTCACTCCTAGAATACTAATGATCTTTATCACCTTACCGTCCCATTTGCGTTCACTAGCTTTCGGACGATTCCTTCTCACATAGGACAATTATTATATCTCACATCCTCTATCCTTCTATCCCAACTATCCTAAAACTACAAACAACAATACAATCTTTTACAACACTAAAATGTCTCAAACTAAATTTAAGCGACGTTCCAACAATGCCAATAACTCCCTAAATCCTAAAGGAACGAGATGGATGAACATAACCATTCTTTTAAGATATAAGACAATTAGATATATCACAGGTATGAACATCTCCCCTGCTGAGTTAGGTGTTTGTCTATGTATATTGTCAGTAAAAATTAGCAAAGAGGAAACAAATATCTTTTTTTTTAACGCCAGGAAGTATTATGAAATCACTGGAGTTTGTGATGACTGTTTTCGAAGTGTTATCATGTATGTATGTATGTATGTATGTATGTATGTATGTATGTACGTGCCTCTGGACATATACATCAGCTTGGGCTCCCTATACTTAAGACAAATCCCTGTGTGTGTTGGGGAGATGGGGGTTAAGTCATTGTACTCAAGGGGTTAAGTCATTGCAATCAAAGGGTTAAAATCATTGTACTCAAGAGGTTAAGTCATTATACTCAAGGGGTTAAATTCATTATACTCAAGGGGTTAAAGTCATTGCAATCAAATGGTTAAATTCATTGTACTCAAATGGTTAAAGTCATTGTACTCAAAGGGTTAAGTCATTGTACTCAAGAGGTTAAAGCCATTGCAATCAAAGGGTTAAATTCATTGTACTCAAAGGGTTAAAGTCATTGTACTCACAGGATTACTTCAAATTATCAAGTCATTGTACTCAAGAGGTTAAAGTCATTGTACTCATGGGGTTAATTTGTACTTAAAGGGTTAAATAATTGTATTTAATGGGTTAAATCATTATACATAAAGGGTTAAATTTCATCAAATATATATAAACAACAATGTTTCACTATCCATTTACACATTTACATAAATATTTTTCTCTGTATTCTCACCTATTTACGCTTATCTTTTTTAATGTAGCTATCAAGACCATTATATCAATTGACTTTATCATTATATATCTATTTTATATCTTACTTAATCCTATCTCATAATTATATATATTTCTTCTATATTAATTATTCGTTGTATTTTATCAATTTACGTATTTCGTTTCTTTAATGTCAATATTTTTCTACCATTGTTATTCACGTATCTAAATTTCTGTCTAATTTACTATAGATCGTAATTCCTTCGTTTTATTTATTCCTACACCAATTTATCCGCATCTTTATTCAATTTTACATGAAACATTAATTCTTAAGCCAGAGTTAACGTGTATAACCGGGTTGTGTTGGTGGGTAACTGTTAACTCCGGGTGTCAATAATCCCCCCCCCCCCCAGTTGACTTATCAAACACTCGTAAGATCCTTGACCTCTCCAAGTTACTTAAAGGTCGTATAAGGAAAGTAACAGTTTCTTCTTTATCATCTCGTTGTTATTTGGTGTTTCAGCTGACATGGTTAGGTTAGGTTAGGTTAGGTTAGGTTAGGTTAGGTTAGGTTAGGTTAGGTTAGGTTTAAAAATCGCTTTCAAGTTCATGGATCCTCCCTCCTTCTCATCTGAATACCGAAAACTATACCAACACATTAAACACCGAAAACAATAATAAAGTGTTTTATGGTTTTAGGATTTTTAAAGGTTAAGTTGGGTTGGGTTAGGTTAGGTTTGTTGGGCGTTCTTTTTAGTATTTTAACCCACATTTCCCCTCTACTTCAAAGCCCTGCTCACTTATCGGTTAAAATACTCGAAATGCCGAAGAATAAATTCAATTCCTTACTAAAAAAAATAATAAACGATCAGTATTATGGACCATTAAGCTAAATCGCAGGAACTAATATTAAAACAAAAGCCTATATAATATAACCTCCCCGCTATTCCATCACAAATTCGTAATATTTTCAACCATCAATCACTCTACTTAATATTTACTTAATTTGCTGTAACTTGTTCTTCTAATATTTGCTGTAGAACACATAAAGCCTATCACCAACGCCAAGCCACAACAGTTAAATAAAATCATAGTAAACATCTTGAGATATACGAGTCACTATTTTTTTTAATCATTAATACTATCAGTGTCTATTATTCCCCCATAGTTCAGCTTCTATTGTAAGAATACATCACAGGTTATATGTAAAGCATTTAGTACTGTAGGAGAAATGTATGGATGGTTATTGTAGAGATTTGTTATGAAAGGAAAGGTGAACAGATTATTTCACTTACCATCGTTACTGACAATGTTGTGATGATGATTTGACCTGCATAATGTTTATATACTGCTAATTCCTTATAATATGTTCAACAGGAGGAATCTTGCGCCACTTGCCCACAATGTTACTTTTTAAATGTCTAAACAAAACACAAACACAGACTCACTTTATCAGTGTTACAGCCGCTGTCTGTCTCCAGCAGAGTTACCAGCTTAGGCGAGTTACCCATCTAGCACACTCCTTTCTCGTTTATCATTATAAAGACAAGAAACAGATAAAAACACAATAATATATGCTTAAAATAATTAATACATAATATATTTTAGGTTTTATAGCAAAAAAAGTAAAAAAATATATAAGAAAATGCGCTACTTTTTTATCTCTACATTTTGCCATCTTGGTTCAAGTCCGACATAAACTTGGCAGCATTTGTTCCCTGAGCAGACGAATGCTAATGTTAGTTAATTGCTTGTCTTGCGTGTAAGGCCCTTCAAGTATCAAGAATCAATACACTTGATATCCAAATTGGGTTCTGGGCCACAGTGTACCTTCGTGTTTACCCAGGAGCAGAAAAAACATAAATCTGTTGACTTTTCCCAGCTTTTGGCGCGAGTGTGCTAGAGTTAGCAAGTCACATGAACTCTTCTGACCAATCACACACGGCCACACACGCTGCCCGACAGTCTGGCCACTCAGAAGCGGCAACACAAACCACCACGGCAAAAGTAAACAAAATCCACCTCTTTCAGGAGTCTTGATTTTTATTATAAATTATCTTTGTTTCGGCCCAATAGACAGAGAAATCGTGACTGAAATACTTCTAGAGTATTTATCAGACAACAACGACTATGGTGTAATATATGGGTAGTTCGTGATCGACTCAGTAACCTTAGAAAAACCTTAGAAATATGGTTAATGAAGAGATAACATAGGTACTCCAACATACGCCAACACGGGTGATAAGATTAAAGGTAAGAAATAAGTAAATAAAACCATATTGATTGAATAACTCTTCGTTTATTGTATAACGGTAACTGAGACTATAGTTATTATCACAGGTAGTGGAAGTTATGACAGGTAGTGACAGACCTAGCTTATGACAGGTGGTGACAGCCTTAGACAGAACGTGACATATGGTGACAGGAGAAGTGAAAAGAAATAGACGTCCCATCCTTCCCCTCCCACTCCTCTTCCTCCCCTCCCCTCACTTCCCCCCTCCCCCCTCCCCCTCCCACCTCTCTAGACCCTTAAAGGCGATGCACCTGATATCTGATACTGGACTGGCAGCCTCGCTAGTGAAGGGGGGGGGGGTTAAGGTGGGGTAGGGAAGGAGCAGGATAGATAGATAGGAAATTACTTGATATATAAATGGACATAGAAAAGGACAAACAAATAAAGACAGACTAAAACACACACACACACACACACATACATACAGACAGACACACATACATACAGACAGACACAGAGAGGCAGCAGGTGATGTGGGGTATGTAGACAGCCTTGGCAACTTAACGCTGACACACTCACATTACCTGCACTATATTTTATCTCCACCGGCGACTGATAGTGATCTCTCTCTCTCTCTCTCTCTCTCTCTCTCTTTCTCATCTCCTTATTTAGTTCTT